TGACTCAACAAATACACCAAACAATGGGTGGCAGAGGTCCCAGCAATCCTCTGGAGCCTGAGAACGACCTCGAACCGATCCACAGGGTTCACACCCTTCTTCCTAGCTTACAGAGTTGAGGTAGTGCTGCCCTCTGACCTCAACCACGGCGCCCCAAGAGTGAAGGCTATTGACCGCGACCGAGCCGCAGAGGCTCAGCAAGACGCAGTCAACCTGCTCGAGGAAGCCCGCGAGATGACCATCATCCGCTCTGCTCGCTATCAGCAAACTCTTCGCAGGTACCACAAAAGAAAGATCAGGGGGAGAATGCTCGAAGTCAGTGATCTCGTACTCCGGAGGACCCAATCGACAAAGGAAAAACACAAACTCTCTCCACCATGGGAAGGACCCTATACGGTGACCGAAGTAATCCGACCGGGCACCTACCGACTGGAGGACGACAACGGCAACATTCTCACCAACACTTGGAACATTGAACAACTACGTTGTTTTTCCCCTAAAAATTTGGTCTTACCGCTTTCTTTAGTCAACGCTTGCTCCTGTAAAGCACCCCGGCCCGAACAGTTTCAGCCCAGGTCACTCGGGGGCTACATGAGGGTATAATACCGAATATTACCTCTCTTTTTTATTATCACGTGGTAAATAACTTTGTCCCTGAATGGAAGCACATTCTTTTTCCTTTGATTGTCCTACGTAACTTTGTTCTTACTCCTAACTGAATGCACCCCGCCACAACCTATAGTTACGAGCAGCCGAGCCCCGCGGGCCATGCCTAGGTTCTTAAAAAAGCTACAGCCTACGGAACTAACGGGCATGTGTGAAAAAGAAAGGACAAAAACAATAGCTACGCCAGGATAAAAACAAGGAACGGATAGTGATTCTATCACAAAGAACAGGACTTATGTATTCATTGATACGAAAACTATTCACACAGGGGCTCACCCACAAACTCAACTATTACATTTTTTGCTAAAAAACTACTTCCATTCCAAATACTACTACGGCCACTTGACGACATCGCATGACGCCAAAGGAAAACGGCACTCGCCGCCAGACATAACCACCGCTATAGGGGCCCCTGCCGGTTCAGCTCACGACTTTGGCGAGCGCAACGGGTACCTCAAGGGACCCACTCGGTTCCGTTCCCTCGACTTCAGTGAGCGCAACGGGTACCTCAAAGGTGCCACACCCATAGATGCTCAGCAGAGGAGCATGGGGCTCCGAACCTTCTCATGCAGTCGAGGCAGCTCCTGGGCAGGGACGCCGCCACCGAAGTATGGCCACCATGGCTAGAAGAGATCTCATCAAACTTTATGAACTGGCCAACCTGAGCAGCTGCAGGCGTAGAACCCTCCACTAGCACGATCCTAGGCAACTTCCCCTCCACATATGGCTCCATCCCGAAGAAGGCCTCGTAGATGAATCCAGCATGCCACCCCCTTTGGCGGAAGCTGCTCCTTCTCAGGCAAAGATGGCCAGCACCGCCCTAGGTAGCCTCCAGCTTGACATCATGCTCTGGATTCATGAAAGGATCTGTAAGTCCTCCCCCTCGCTTACCATCTCTCTCACTTAGGAACCACCACGGCATACAGTCACTCTCGGTGAGGAGGAAGGAGGAGAGACAATAGTTGGAGAACAGGCAAAGGACTATGATGGAGAGCCCTCTCCCTCCCCCTATTTAAGGAAGAAACACGACAGCCAAAGCGGGGCAAAAGATTAGAGCGAAAAACTCTCTCCCTTCCTCCATTCAATGCGGATGGGAAACGATGGAACACACCCTGATCGATGGGACGCACGCTGGCCGACGGAACAACGCCGGGTCATACGGAACACCGCCTGGTGAGACAAAATGTGGCCTAGGTATGGCCCACCACTATCGCACGACCGGGCATGAAAACCGAAACGTCACCACACGCAGGCAGCTCTCTCGCACCCCCAGGCGGGACTTGGAAAAACCCAAAGCGGATCTCCACTAGGAGAGACCATCGGGCTTCCTAAGTCGATCGAACAGCTCAGAAAAACACACCGAGAGACAGGTAGGAAGCAAAGGGATGCCCCACGTAGGCTATGCCGACTCCATCACGAACGACGAGCACGGGTCCCGGTCGGACATTTCTGACTGAAGCTCTCCAAAACCCCATCACTCAAGTCATCAAGGTAAAAACTACTAACCCCCTCTATTTCTTTATAAATCATTTCATACATCCATATGCACATTCATTCCATACGCCCGTGCCTCCCGGACGATTCGGGCCTTGAACCTCCCGGGGGCTCGGGAACTAAGCATCGCACGTTCAGCGAAATGCATCACAACGCTCCGTGTTGCGTCACGAAGCGGCGGTTGCCTCATTCGACATGAGCAACCAATAGAGCTAGGGGAGAAAAAAGTAGATGAGCACCATGCGGCCCTCGCCTAGTCTGGCAGACAGGGTCATCTCAACCTTCTCATTCGATCCTAAACCTCTTGCCACCCACAGAATCTCCATCGAGGGGAGGCCGTTAGGCCACCCGGGTCGGTCTCTAGAATGACCTAGGCATCTACCGGGTTGCAGGTAAAGGAGCAATGGAATGTCACAAGAGGGCTATGCCAACCCCTGTCATGAACGACGGACTCAGATTCCACTCGATCATACCCGTTAGCGAACTCACCAAGCGCATCACTCGAGCCCGAGCGATCGCGACAAGCAACAAAACTCAGTCCCTCTGGTTGTGAGGAACAGAGGATGGGGCAACGCACACAACTCACACCGACCCCTACTAAGGCCCAACAAGGCTCGGAGGCTCAAGACACAAAAAGCCTGGGTCTACGACCCCGAACTCGCCCCTTCCGACTGCGCTCCAAACACCTGGGTCTGCGACCCAGATCTCACCGCATCCGGCTATGCTCCAACTGCGCTCCAAACACCTGGGTCTATGACCCCGATCTCGCCCCATCCGGCTACGCTCGACTGCGCTCCAAAAACAACCTGGGTCTACGACCCCGATCTCGCCCCATCCGGCTACTTTCCGACTACGCTCCAAAAAACAACCTGGGTCTACGACCCTGATCTCGCCCCATTAGGATCTACGAGCTCCGGCTCGCCCGATCCCAAACTAACTAAACTAACTGCGTCACCCGATCCCACGATGCGCATCGACGCCAGGATCCGCAAGCTCCATCTCACCCAATCTCTAAAACGCCTAACCGCCTCGGCTGCACAACGACGCCTTGGTTGACAAACTCTGTCTCAACTAAAAATATGCACACACGCCCGCTAACAAACACCCCCTAGACGGTTTTGCCCGAACCGCCTAGGGGCTCGGGGGCTACACCCGCGGGTGCGCTCGCGCGCACCCGCCGACAAAGCAAAAAATCCCCCAGACGATTCTGCCCGAATCGCCCGGGGGCTCGGGGGCTTCTGTCGGGTTCATAAACCTAGGGTCCCTCAGGGACCGGCTTCCCAAACAAAGGCTCGGCCCAAACTAATAACGCACAACTCATAGGCCAACCAAGTATCGGGGCGATAGGCTGGGGGAGTGATCCAATCTCCGACCGAAAGGTCAGGCCGAGGAGGAACAACGCCCGTTTTCCGACTCTGGCCCACCTCTCTGACCGGAGCGCTCGCTCCGGTCACCAGCCCGCCTCCAGACGACCTCTTTGATCGGAAGGCTTGGCCAAAAGCACCGCTTCCGACTCCGACCCCGCACTCTCCGACAGGGGATACACCTAGCCCCTGCTGACCGCTCTTCTCTGACTGGCACGATCAAAGCCGACTAGGATCAACTGACCGGGGACGCCCGCTTTGTAGGGAGCAAGAGACGTGCGGAGAAAGCAGGGAAAGGCGCACAAGTCAAACCATGATATCAGGGACTATACCCTGTACACCTACAGGAACAATACTATGCAATCGCCTTGACACAAACAGTGTTGTAGGCGCCTACGTTTCCCCTACCGTATTGTGGGCACCATTAAACTCCCATACGGTAAGGCTCCCGCACATGTCTCTGGGCATCGACAGTGTTGTGGGCGCCGGGATTTACCATACCGAGTGCACATGGTGAAACTCCTCACATGCCTCTGGGCATCAACAGTGTATGCAGGTACCGACATCTGCCATACCCAAACAAGACGACGGACCTCCCATGTGCATCTGACATCCAACAGTGTTGTGGGCACCTACCATCATCCTATACCCATTGGCGTGGGCAACAAGGCTTAGAAGCATTCGTACTCTCTCCCTCTCACTTGTAAGGCCACCCCCTTCATCTATAAAAGGGGATGTGCTCTCTCCCAGTTGAAAAAAGTCCCTTTAGATTCATTAGATCGACCAAGTTTACTAGCTCACAACCATAGAACCGCTAGGTTCGGACCTCAAGCACACGTTTGAACACTTAGCTTCCAGCGGAGCTCCTGTCGCTCTTGGCCCTTCCGACCGGAGTCCGACCGGACCTCTCGTACACTCCATCTTTCTCCTTCTCATTTGTAACCCCACTGCAAACTTCGAGCACCTGGGCTCAGGAATAAAGTCACCGACCGATTCAAACTGGACATAGGGCACGTTGCCTGAACCAGTATAAACCCGGCGTCATTGAGTGCTAGGCCACCTCCGATCATAATGTACGATAAAACTACAAATATTTACTAGTTGGTCACTTTTTGCACCGACACTATAAGTCTTGGAGCCCTCATATTTTTTGAAAATAATTTCAATTTTCAATAATGACATATTCACCAGAACTGTCTTCCAATATATCTATTTGAAATGAGCAAAATTCTTTGTCAAACTTGCATAGGATTCCGAAACAGAATAATGCCATTTTTCTTCCCACACAGAAAACCATGAGGGTACTACACAATCGATCACACAACGACAGCATCGTACATACCACTCATAACATCTCAAGTCCATACACCGCACACTGCAAGGAGCAGCTTTATTTTATTTTGTATGAAAAAAGGAATAGGAGAGAAAGAGAAAACCCAAACTCCGGGTAGGGGAATCGCATCCCAATCCACCGATTTAGTTGTAGGCGTCGGGGTTGGCGACGAGGTAGGCCTCGGCACCCTTGAAGATGGCGGTGACTGCCTCCTTGGCCTTGGCGACCTCGTCTTTGACCTCCACGCCCGGCAGCAGCTTGTAGGTCGACTCCACCTTCACCAGGCTGCCGCCGTCGGCCGCGGGCTCCACCTTGATGTGCGACGTCGCCGTCTCGATGGAAACGCCGATGGCGCCGCCCTCGATGAGCGTGTTCTTGCACTCGCACTTGTCCAGGTCCAGGAAGTCGAGCCTCTCCTTCGTGAAGGAGAACGGCATGACTGCAAGAGGCACGTCATGCGCTTAGCTGTTTGATCGATACGGCGACAACATGTTGGTCTGGGCATGCCGCGGACACTTACCTGAGGTGAAGTTGAACTGCCTGATGCTGCCAACGGCGCCGTCGCCCTCCACGGGGTGGGCGCTGGCGACGACGTGGGAGGCGACCTTGGGCGCCAGGGTGTGCCAGTCCAACACGGCGGCGCGGAACAGGCGCGGCGCGGCCACCGGCGACGCGATCTCGAGGGTCCAGCTGTTGGCGGAGGCCATTGCTTCAGTGATCGTCCGCCGATGCTTAGGTGCTCAGCGCTGAGCGTGGCAGTGCTACTGCTGGTGGTTTTGCAGCTTCTGCTTGTGTTGCCATGAGAGTGGCGGACTGAGGGCTTTAAATAGGCAGTTATGGCGGGGTTGGTGGCGTCCGGTGAGGATGAGACGCCCGGGAGTGAGGCTTCTCCGACGTGGGTTGGCTTGGCACGGCACCGTCACTCGTCGGTCCATTAGTCCATTAATTAATGTGGCCGGGTTGCAGAAAGTTAGGAAACATGCTGCCATTCCGTCAACGTTCAACTCCTCAAGGTGTAGGATATGTCGTCGAATTGGCACACCGTTTCGCATGAGTCAAATGATCTAGAATAACGCTGGTTTGTGGTGATGAGCTTGTAGATCAAAAAACATGTAAGCGTGGTGGGTTGGTGTGATTAGAAAGGAGAATTATATTGTGAGCGTCCTGACTACTTGCATCCCTCTTGTCCTTCAGATAACAGGAACTTCGCTCAGTCATTCAGATAGGAAGAACAGATGTATGATAAAGAGATAAAATACATATGCCGAAGATTGTGCCTGTTATGGGTCTTAAGTACATCTCTTTGTGCTTTAGAACTGTCGAGGCTATAATTGTATATTCAAATCCAAATTAGTGAAGTCTATCATACTGAACACACACATGCATTCCACAATGCTTATGAATTATGATAGCACGTAAATTTGGTTGAGCTGTGGCAAAATAGGCCTCGTTCGACTGGTATGGAGGAAGTACTGTTTATGGCTGAATTTTACTGTTCATGGATGATTTCATCTCACAAATTACTCCAGATTTATCAAGATTCCTCCAAGCGAACGGGGCCATAAAGAAAATAAACTAATATTACTTGTTCATTTGTACAGCTAGCAAGCAAATTGAAGAATTTTATTGTGCCCATTTAACAGTCCATAACCGTTTAAGTTCAGTTAGCTGATATGGTCTTCCTAAAATGTAGGCTCGTCCATCTCCATGGACCATGGTTAATGTTATTACAATTACAGTAAAATCTCTTTCTATAAAGTAGTAAAGGATATTAGCATGGACATATCTTGTTCCAAATATCTTATGGATCTAACTGTACATCTGATGGATGCACTCATAAAATGGCCAAGGTCAGCAAACATTGCTTCACTGCCTGAAGTGGAAAGTAGACCTGGTGATTAAATCCTAAATGGCAAACAGGTTATAAAAAAAAACAGGAAGGGAAAGGTAAACATGATACATCACTCCACTGTCATAGAAAGAAGGATCCCTCCTAAAGCAATCCATCCATCTTTACCTGTCTTTTTAAAGAACTTAACCATATAATATGAATATGGAGCCAAGAATATATCGTTTCCGGACTTTAGGTGCACGTTCGCACACAGATCCAGAATTTACCATTTTCGTACGCATTTTTATTAAACAAGTTTGCATCTTAACTTTTACACGATAAAAAGACACATCTACGGATACAATATGGATATGCTCATATGCATCATTTAAAAAAACGTTTTAGTAAGCTTTTTAAAAAAAAAAAGTGTTTTCACGTTTAATATATAGAGATTGTATGGCCCATTTCACCAAGTTGCACATCACACATCACTAGATGGAGTTCCGGTGAAAACAACTAGGGATGTGTTTGATTTGATGAATATCTTAGATGGGACATACCGGTTTGATGAAAACGGTCGGAAAACCCTCAACCGTTTTCTACTTCTACATTTGATTACGAAGCGAAAGCGGTTAAGCCGGACACGAAAACAAACACAAACTTACAAAATATTGAGAATTTCGAAAATGAACTAATTCGAACGGAATTAAGTTGAACACGGTCGGTATAAAAAAATCAATACAGAATATTGATCCATAGTACCAAGTGCATAACAATTAACAAGTGCTACAACTTTCATATAAAAAGTATCTCCATTTGACACTATATAAGAAACATATGATTTTTCTAAGGCCACAAGGGTTTGTACGCGATTAACATTCTGCTAAAAAATTGTTTATTTTTTTAAACATCTTAACGACCTCAAATGAAAAAATTGAAAACTAAAAAGTTGTAGATCTTGTCGAGAGCTACAATTTGCATACAAAAATCATATTCATCCGAGATCATATGAAAAAAGATACAATTTTTCTAAGACTGGACTTCTCATGCCAAAAATAGTATAAACCGAACTTCAAAAACAGGATATTCCGAATAAAAAGCAAAAAAGTAGAAAACGGTCAGAAAACACCTAAACCATTTCCGTTCATTTTTCGAGTTTGGTATTCCGTATTTTGTACCGAATTCGAATTCATGCGAAAATGCGAATTCGAGCGGGTCAATTGTAGAAAACGATGTGGGATAGCACGGGATAAATTAGCGGTCCATGGACAAACAATGTTTGGTTCGCAGGTGACTTGGATAGGAATATCCTCGATAGATGCTGGATAAGCTTGTAAATAAAGATCCGCTGAACAAGTCTGTCCAAGTTTTCCAATCTCTGACATCAATAAATAAATTAATAATTATTTGCATGTTACATTATTATTTATTAATTATGATGACAAGATTAGTTTTGATAAGTAATACTATGTTGATTAATGCACAACTATGTGAAAATTAAGATAGTAATTGTGTTAATTAACGTGTTAGTATATTTATCATGACAAATGTGCACTATTTTTGTCATTATAATTACTAATAAGATAGTATATTTATTAGTATATAATTATTAATTTTAAATAGTAGATATAATGAGTTAACTATTCTTGTCACCATTGCTGCTGTGGGCGCGGTTGAAGCATGGTAGCCGAGGGCAGCGGCAGCGGTGGTGGCGGTCGTGGTCGCGCCTCCAACTTCTGTACCCGTCCTGCCGTGGTCTGCAGCAGCGACCCCAATGATGAATCCGTGGTGGTCTTCCACGACTCGAGGCCGGAGAACTTGTCGAGGAGCTGCTCAAGAAGTAGCTTGATACCCTCTAAATACTTGTTGGTGGCCTCCGCGTTCACCGCCATGAAAAATTCAACATTTGTCGGCTTCATCTTCGGCGCTAGAGCGAGTCACCATGGCGATGAAAAAAATTTGGCTGAGAATCAACCTGCTCTGAGTACCAATTGTGATGAGCTAAGATAGCTGAGGAAGAATCAGAGGTAGATTTAGCAAGAAATGGACAGGAATCAGAGGAATTTCAGTGCGGCGGGAGGAACTGCAGTTTCAGAGTTTGGATTTCGATTAACGGAACATGTTCATTTACATGCCGTTTTGGGCCCCATCCAGTTTGGGTCCACTGTCATTCCCTTCGGCTTCTGGGTCCACTAGTCAGCCACTATGTTCCTCTCTCTTGTCGGATCCCAAACACCTCCGCTTTCGGGCCTGATTCCGACGCCGTCGTTGCATATCCCACGGAGTCATGACAAATGCCTACTTCTCTCACCTCTCTACTGAACGCTATAACCCCCGAAGTCTTCATTTTGTTCAAAAAATAATTTCAAATTTCAACAATGACAAATTCACCATAATGAAAGTCTCCTAATATCAATTAGAAATGAGCAAACATTCCATATTCAGTCAAACTTGCATAAGATTCCAAAACAGAATACCTCGTATAAACTATGTATGCCCTTTTTCTTCCCACATAGAAAACCATGAGGGCATACATAATCACAGTATCACACAAACAAAGCATCGTACAGACCACTTATAACATCTCAAGTCCATACACCGCACACTGCAAAGAGCAGCTTTATTTTGTTTTGTAGTATGAAAAAAGAGGAAAACTCTAGGAAAGAAAAAGAAAATTATGGGTTTCGTGTCGGTCAAACTAGTTTAAGTTTGACCAAGTTTATAGTAAATAGTATTTAGTATTTATGCCTTTCAAATAATTTTGTTATAAAAATATATTCTATAACTAATCTAATAATATTTATTTTGTATCATGAATGCTAGTACTTCTTTATATAAATTTAGTCAAAGTTTAAACTGTTTGACTCTAGCTCGAAAAGTGAATTGTATTTTTTTTAGACGGAGGGAGTACCATTGAACATGCATGTGAGTTAAGCAATGGTACCTTAGGTACTAATAATTTTGATACCTACAGTACCTATGGCTTTTTATAGACACTTGCTATGATATAAGGACACAACTATGACAATTAAGGAGTGGTGGGCATCCTTACTAAATGATTAATTGCTTTGACTAAAAATTAGCTCTATTGTAGAGTTAATGGCCCCGTTCGATTTGCTGACAAAACAAGTCGAAACAATGTTTCGGTTGATTTGTTGTGAGAGAAAAACACTGTTCCGGCTGAAAAAAATAAGCTGAAAAGTACGGATTATAAGATAAGCGAACATGGCCAATAGGTGGGCTAATTTTTTAGCCAAGTCTTTAACTAGTTGTTAGCTAACTAGATAGCCAACCATAATTTTGGCTAATTTTTAGCCCCAATCAGTAACTAGCTATATGTATCTAAATAGGCCATGGAAAACCAAGGAGTTGAATTGTAAAAGAGAACGATGGTAATCCTAGTGTATAATTCCTTGGATGTCTAGAAATAACAAAACAAAAGGGCTTTGTAGGGAAAGAGGAATTGGCCCTCTGGAAGAAGGCTTGTGGTGAACCTAGTTTAGTCTAGTGTCATTGTTATAATCTTTCGTAACACAAGTTTGCAAAACTATGCATTTTCTCCTCTTGTTTTTAAAAATGGATAGACTGGAAAGCTACCTATTATATAGTACATGCAAGTTTCTCCTTACATGATTGAGCAAAGCTCCTCCCACTTCTTAAAAAAAAATGCAAGCTCGGTTGATAAGGGTTTGACTGTTTGAGGCTGCCGTTGAGCATCACTTTTGTCTAAACTCAGAAAATAAACTAAAAGCCGTTGTGAAGAGGTTTCATGGTTTTTGATTTGTTTGGAAGCTAAAAATTTATTACAAAGGCCCCGTTCGCTGGGAGGAATCTGGAGGAATTTGTGAAAGAAAAACATTGTTTCGGATAAAAAAAAGAAGCGGATCAAGCCGGGTCTAAGGGCACGTGAACGGAGCCAAAATTTAATAATAAAAAACCAACAATTAGAAACCACAAAACCAGCTTTTATGTTAATGTTAAAAGCATAAAAGGTACCCCTTAAACAAGCAAGGCCTTAGGCCTTCTGCAATGTGGTGATGCCAGAAATCAACTCGTGAGCTCCGCACGTGAGAACGAGAATCGCTCTACGTCGCAGTGGGGAGGCATCACTAGTGGGCCCCTTGTTTTAAGCTTTTTATCTCATCTCTCTTTTGCATGTTTCTCCTTTCTCTCCCGGCTGCATGCAAATCAAATATTGTTTATTGACTTGGCTTCACCTTGAACCGGTGAACGTACTTGCCTCGCTCCACGTTGTATTAGATTCACTTAGGATTGGCACCACTCGCTGCAGTGGGAGGAGCGGTACCCCAAATATTCTCTCTCCATTTTTAGAACCGCTCTGGGCACACATTGCACAAGATCATAGATGTCCGCTTCTCCCACCTCTTTTGCTCTTTAGTGAACACTATAAGTCTTGGAGCCCTCATATTTTTGGAAAATAATTTCAATTTTCAATAATGACATATTCACCAGAAGTGTCTCCCAATATATCTATTTGAAATGGGCAAAATTCTTTGTCAAACTTGCATAGGATTCCGAAACAGAATAATGCCGTTTTTCTTCCCACACATAAAACCATGAGGGTACTACATAATCGATCGCACAACGACAACATCGTACATGCCACTCATAGCATCTCAAGTCCATACACCGCACACTGCAAGGAGCAGCTTTATTTTGTTTTGTATGAAAAAAGGAACAGGAAAGAAAGAGAAAACCCAAACTCCGGGTAGGGGAATCGCATCCCAATCCACCGATTTAGTTGTAGGCGTCGGGGTTGGCGACGAGGTAGGCCTCGGCACCCTTGAAGATGGCGGTGACTGCCTCCTTGGCCTTGGCGACCTCGTCTTTGACCTCCACGCCCGGCAGCAGCTTGTAGGTCGACTCCACCTTCACCAGGCTGCCGCCGTCGGCCGCGGGCTCCACCTTGATGTGCGACGTCGCCGTCTCGATGGAAACGCCGATGGCGCCGCCCTCGATGAGCGTGTTCTTGCACTCGCACTTGTCCAGGTCCAGGAAGTCGAGCCTCTCCTTCGTGAAGGAGAACGGCATGACTGCAAGAGGCACGTCATGCGCTTAGCTGTTTGATCAATAGGGCGACAACATGTTGGTCTGGGCATGCCGCGGACACTTACCTGAGGTGAAGTTGAACTGCCTGACGCTGCCAACGGCGCCGTCGCCCTCCACGGGGTGGGCGCTGGCGACGACGTGGGAGGCGACCTTGGGGGCCAGGGTGTGCCAGTCCAACACGGCGGCGCGGAACAGGCGCGGCGCGGCCACCGGCGACGCGATCTCGAGGGTCCAGCTGTTGGCGGAGGCCATTGCTTCAGTGATCGTCCGCCGATGCTTAGGTGCTCAGCGCTGAGCGTGGCAGTGCTACTGCTGGTGGTTTTGCAGCTTCTGCTTGTGTTGCCATGAGAGTGGCGGACTGAGGGCTTTAAATAGGCAGTTATGGCGGGGTTGGTGGCGTCCGGTGAGGATGAGACGCCCGGGAGTGAGGCTTCTCCGACGTGGGTTGGCTTGGCACGGCACCGTCGCTCGTCGGTCCATTAGTCCATTAATTAATGTGGCCGGGTTGCAGAAAGTTAGGAAACGTGCTGCCATTCCGTCAACGTTCAACTCCTCAAGGTGTAGAATATGTCGTCGAATTGGCACACCGTTTCGCATGAGTCAAATGATCTAGAATAACGCTGGTTTGGGGTGATGAGCTTGTAGATCAAAAAACATGTAAGCGTGGTGGGTTGGTGTGATTAGAAAGGAGAATTATATTGTGAGCGTCCTGACTACTTGCATCCCTCTTGTGAAAATTTTGCATTTTACTCCTTTTAAAATTTTATTTATAAATAGACTCTTCATGAAACCTTTTCTAAAAATGGACCCATGTCAAGATATGCACGCGTCCTGACTACTTGCATCCCTCTTGTGAAAATTTTGCATTTTACTCCTTTTAAAAACTTATTTTATAAATAGACTTTTTATGAAACCTTTTCTAAAAATGGACCCATGTCAAGATATGCACGTTGGTGTTTAATCAACTAGATGATATCGTTGCTGCGGGAATTATCTTGCATTGTAGATTGGGAGAATTTATGTAGGAGAATTAATAGTACTATCTAACTACAACACAATAATGCTTTGCCACGGAATTTGAGAGATGAATTTAGATAAACATAGTCAATATGATTGGTCCACCTTAAGGACTACAGAGAAAACTTCACAATTTACTTAGAACTAGGTAGCGTGTCCGTACGTTGCTACGGGACAACTAAACTTTTGTACTAAAAACACACGGATCACATGATAAGATAACAATATTGTAAAATTAAATACATACGTTAATCCAAAAAGCAAAGTCCGTGAAATTAACAGTCACGCACAGCACGGCGTCGCAGACTCACAAACTGTATAGACCTTTCCGCACGACATGGGGGTTGTTGGCGTTCGCATTGCCTCAGGTCATTGCGTTGCGGGTCAGCTCCGCCACGAGCGTGTCGCCGTCTCGGTCACCTCCGTGGCACATCAGCTAGCGCCGCCAGCCGCTGTGCCTCAACCATGAGCGCCACACGCCGCCTTCTCCGCCCGCTGCGTACGCCACACCTCGCCTAGCTGCGGGCTGCCACAGCGTCGACAACCTAGCCTCGCGCACGGGTTAGGACTGCGCCGGTAGTGACGGCAGCCCTGCACTTCGTGCTCTGGAGTGAGACATGGATTTCCTTCCTCAGTTATAGCCTCTTCCATGCTAGAATTCTCAGGAACTTCTTCAGATTCAATAGGACTAACACAACCAGATTCTTCACCTAACAGGAACTTCGCTTAGTCATTCAGATAGGAAGAACAGATGTATGAGAAAGAGATAAAATACACATACTGAAGATTGTGCCTGTTATGGGTCTTAAGTACATCTCTTTGTGCTTCAGAACTGTCAAGGCTATAATTGTATGTTCAAATCCAGATTAGTGAAGTCTATCATACCGAACACACACATGCATTCTACAACGTTTCGGACGCCGTCTTTGCATATCCCGCGGAGTCATGACAAATGCCTACTTCTCTCACCTCTCTACTGAACACTATAACCCCTGGAGTCTTCATTTTGTTCAAAAAATAATTTTAAATTTCAACAATGACAAATTCACCATAATGAAAGTCTCCTAATATCAATTAGAAATGAGCAAACATTCCATATTCAGTCAAACTTGCATAAGATTCCAAAACAGAATACCTCGTATAAACTATGTTTGCCCTTTTTCTTCCCACATAGAAAACCATGAGGGTATACATAATCACAGTATCACACAAACAAAGCATCGTACATACCACTTATAACATCTCAAGTCCATACACCGCACACTGCATAGAGCAGCTTTATTTTGTTTTGTAATATGAAAAAAACAGGAAAACTCTAGGAAAGAAAAAGAAAATGATGGGTTTCGTGTCGGTCAAACTAGTTCAAGTTTGACCAAGTTTATAGTAAATATTATTTATGTCTTCAAATAATTTTGTTATAAAAATATATTCTATAACTAATCTAATGATATTTATTTTGTATCCTTTATATAAATTTAGTCAAAGTTTAAACTGTTTGACTCTAGCTCGAAAAGTGAGAACTGTATTTTTTTAGACAGAGGGAGTACCATTGAACATGCATGTGAGTTAAGCAATGGTACCTTAGGTGCTAATAATTTTGATACCTACAGTACCTATGGCTTTTTATAGACACTTGCTATGATATAAGGACACAGCTATGAGAATTAAGGAGTGGTGGGCATCCTTACTAAAGGATTAATTGCTTTAACTAAAAATTAGCTCTATTGTAGAGCTAATGGCCCCGTTTGCTTTGCTGAAAAAACAAGCCGAAACAATATTTCAGCTGATTTGTTATGAGAGAAAAACACTGTTCCGGCTGAAAAACAACGAATTATAAGAGAAGCGAACAGGGCCAATAGGTGTATCTAAATAGGCCATGAAAAACCAAGGAGTTGAATTGTAAAAGAGAACTATGGTAATCCTAGTGTATAATTCCTTGGATGTCTTGAAATAACAAAATAGAAGGGCTTTGTAGGGAAAGAAGAAGGCTTGTGGCGAACCTAGTTTAGTCTAGTGTCATTGTTATATTCTTTTGTAACACAAGTTTGCAAAACTATGCATTTTCTCCTCTTTTTAAAAAAAGGATAGATAGGAAAGCTACCTATTTGAAAGCATCTAGACCCCTAGTTGGGTTTCGGTGATTAATGACAATACGAGATTACTGTGACTAGCGTGTGTTTTGCGGATGCAATTAAGTTATGTCATGGTAATGACAATTGATTGGGCAATCATGGTTGTCATGCCCCTACGATGGAAATCGTTTTGGTTTTCAAAGAATGGATGACAAGGTTAGGGATGGACTAGTTCTAAGTGTCGTTTGGTGTTGAAAAGGCACTTTGAGTAGTTTGGGACTTTGTTTTTCCTTTGGCTGTACTATTAAGGGGGTATGGACGGATAGCTTAACCTAGGTGAGTCTAGTGGGTTAGGTGTGGTGCACACTTGTTAAATCTAGCACTAGGTAGCTCCTAAATAGCCCTTGGATTAATTGGAGCAAACTTCATTCACATACGATTGCGAGTTGGAAGTGAATGGAGGATCAAATGTTGACCGGACGCTGGTTCCGGTGTCACCGGACGCTGGCGCAGAGTCCGGTCAGTTTAATGGATCAAGGTGAAGTCGTCTGGATGCGACCGGACGCTGAAAGGTGAGTGACCGGACACTGGGCGCCAGAGTCCAGTCAACTCTAGTAAGGTCCCAGAGAGGGAGAATCCTAATCGGACGCGTTCGGTCAGTGCTGACCGGACACTGGTAAGGTTTCGGCTACTAACCGGACGCTGAGCAGCAAAGTGACTGGATACTGGGTGTCAGAGTCTGGTCAACATCAGTAAGGTTCCAGAAGGCAGTTTTCATGACCGGACGCGTCCTGTCAGTGCTGACCGAACGCTGGCCAGTGTCCGGTCACAACTTAAACTGCTTAGTGGCGGGTGAACTGACCGGAGCGTCCGGTCACCTTGACCGGAGCGTCCGGTCACCCCGGAGAGGCACATAACGGTTCGTTTTGAACAAGGGTGTATAAATACTTCCTCTATTCATGTGAGGGACAACTTTTGCTCATTCTAACAGCTGAGAAATACCCTTGAGAGTGCCAAGAAGAGCAAGGTCCTAGTGAGGTGATTGAGATTTGAGAATCCAAGAGAGAGGCCCCATTAGTGAAAGCAAGAGTAGCAAAGTGTGCATCCATCCTTCTCATTAGGCTTATCGTGGTCAAGTGAGAGTTCGTGCTTGTTACTCTTGGTGATCGCCATCACCTAGATGGCTTGGTGGTGATTGGGAGCTTGGTGATCATCCGGCGGAGCTTGTGGATGACCTAACTCAAATTGTGAGTGGTTGTGGGTGATTCACCGCGACGGAGTGTCAAAGAATCAACCCATAGAGAGCACTTGATCCTTGCGTGGATCAAAGGGGTGCTACACCCTTGCGCGGGTGCTCCAACGAGGACTAGTGGGGAGTGGCGACTCTCCGATACCTTGGCAAAACATCACCGCGTTCCTCCTTCTCTCTTTACTTTAAGCATTTATATTTGAGCAATTCAATTCTTGTCTTTACATACTTAGAATTGCCATGCTAGAGTAGGATTGGAACTTAGAGTGCTAAACTTTTGTGAGGTAGAACATTAGAAACACTTTCTAGGCACAAAGGGTGAAGTGGGCTAAGTGTAGGATTTAATTATTGCAAAGAATTTTAGAATTAGCCAAATTCACCCCCCTGAGCATCTTGATCCTTTTAATTAGTATCGGAGCCTTGTGCTCACGTATTTAGTCTTAACCGCCTAGAGAAAGATGTCTCACGGGGATGGACCTCTTCCTATCTTTGAGAGGGATGATTTTCCTTATTAGAAAATCCGCATGGAGGCGTACTTAGAAGCTCTAGATGTTGGAATACTTGGAGCCGCCTCACAAGGATTCCCAAAACCTCGGGATCCCACGCACCTTCAAGGCGATGAAGTGAACTATGAGAAATGGAATGCAAAGGCTCGAAACACCATCTTTAGAGGCCTTTGCAAAGATGTGTTTAACCGTGTGAGGAACCACAAGGACGTCCATGCACTATGGTCGGACATTTGTGCGCTCCATGAGGGAACTAAGAGCGAGCATGAGGAACGCTATCATCTCATAATGAAAAAGCTTAATTCTTTTGAGATGATTCCTAAAGAGAGTGCTAATGAAATGTACTCATGCTTGAACGTTCTTGTAGAGGAAGTCAATGGGCTTGGACTCACTCAAATGCAACCATCCAATGTTGTAAGAAAAATCTTGAGT